AAGTCAAAGAAAATAGCATTAGGTAATAATAATTTTGAAATAAAAAGGAAAAATAAAAATACCACAATAAGAAGTAAGGAATATCTAAATGAGTTTGCGATATACGGAATTCCTTGTTTTTGTAGTGACACTTACGTTGGAGAAACTATATCGTTTAAAGAGAGGACAGTACAACATCAAAAGAAAATAAGTATGAGAGATTCTGAAAACTCCGAATTAGCAAAACATTTTGAAAATGGAAACGCATGTGAAATTAACTTCGAAGACAGTGTTGTTTATGATAAAGAGAAAAATGTATTTAGGAAGAAAATACTGGAATCAGTATACGCTATAGCAAACCGGGGGTATAACAGATGTAAAACTATAAGCCCACAATGGAAATCTACGATAAGAAGATGGGTGAAACCATGCAGTGGTCAAAGATTTTATGAGATAGAAGATCCACTTTAAACTGATTCTTCGATGTGCCTTTTTCCTAGTTGGTTTGATGTGTCACTAGACTGGTTTATTTTCATGTTTTCACTTTATTTGTCTTTCATTTTATTTACTGTTTTAGCTCTTCGTCATATGTTAAGTCATATATGACAAAAAGGAAAAATAAGGAATAGACTGAAAGAAACAAGGGGAAAAAGGCAAAAAGAGATAAAATATATAGTTAGAAATGATTTGTTCGTCATAGGCCATAACTGTAGATTTAACATCTAACTAAGGACGTGTGCTTTTTGATTTCAATGGAAATATTTTTCTAACTTTGTTGTTACTGATGAAGACGTTGGTAAACGTCGAAACGTTTAGCTATCTAATTGTATAATAGTTGTACGAATAAAAGTATATTAAAAGTATTGTATCAAACATGTACATTTTTGTGCATTCAAAACAGATACAGCATATGTTGACGAACATTTTGATGTAAATTAGAGTCAGATTCGACCTTCGCTAACTTTCGCGTTCTCATTACATTGAACAAAGTTCTGGAAAACATATTTCAGTTGGAAAACACTTTGTTTCACTTATAGACTTGATCTATACTAAAAACGTTTTTCATTGATAGATAACTGAAAAAGTCTAGATTCCAAATATATACCTTTTTCAACATTAAACTGACTTAACTCAATAAAAATTCATTTTCCCGAAGTGATCGCTAATATAGAGGCTATTTTTAACTTAAATGTGTTTTCCACAAGTTCACCACTTGTAACAAAATTTTTTACACCATTAGATAGTCCATAGATTAAAGTATATTAGACCCTAGTTGATCTTTATAAAAGCATACCTTCGATTTTTTGTTAATTACCCGCCTGAATGCCGAGTATGCTGAGAGCCTTCGACGCGAGAATGCGCTTATCGTCTGATTTTCTGTCTCGATTTAATTATCGAATAATATTTTTTGTTTGATAAATAATCTCTCGTGTAACCATTGTGTGGCATATGACAGTGTTACTGGACAGTGTCCACTCTAGTTTAAAGTTTTCATCGAGTCTTCTTATTGATCGCTCAAAATTCTCTATTTTCCGAGACTCTGGTAAAATCAAGCCAAGTTATGTTAGCTACCTTAGCCTCGAGTCAACCGGTCGGCTTACACCTCTTTTGATGAGAAATTCAATCAAAATACATTATTAGTCCCCCAAAAATCAATGAACTTGATAGTATTACGAAATTCGAGAGAACTTACTGTTGTTGCTATACATTAGTTTAAGATGAACTCTATTCTTTATTTTTCAAGCCACAACAACCACCGAAGAAAGTATATTAATCATTGGCTAAGTCAATATTTTGATTTAAAGACAAATTTTTTTCTTAGCGAATTATCCTTATACCAAAATTGCACCGGTACACGGAATTTTTTATGCAAGACATTGTAAATGCATCTTTATTTTAAATAAATCTTTTTTTAATGTTCATACAGCCAATACTTGGTTATCCGGTGATTGTTTATAGGATTAATTTTGCTCGGTTATTCGATCAATAACAAACTTTTCTCGAAAGGACCTGGTCTTTCGAGCATCGACCCTAAGTAGGTAGACATATGTGACCAACGGAGACTGCATAGCTGTAGTTTTCCCATTCCGACTGACGGATAGCTTTTTGCAATCCTGGAATCCTCGAATCCTGTAGTTTTCCCATTCCGACCGAGGAACAGGTTGTTGACAAGAGCAATTTAGGAGCTTATTTTCCCACCCCAGATAAGAAGTGTAGTTTTCGCATTCCAACCGAGAACAGAATTCTGGGATCCCAGGATCTTCGACCCATTAGCTTAGAAGCTCATGCTTAAAAAGCTAAATGTTGTTGTGTTACTCACACTCACTACCCATCACACCCCACCCGCACTGAATAAAGGAGGGAATCCCAGAATTCTTATATCCTTGACTTATCGAAACAATTGAAGGATTCCGGGATTCGAGGATTCTAGGATTGCAAAAAGCTATCCCTCGGTCGGAATGGGAAAACTGCAGCTATGCTTCTACAGCTATTTGCTCCTGTCAATAAATTTTCTAGATCATCAAATATGTTTTTTCATCGACTTATAAAAATGACATTTTAGTTTTTAGAGTAGCAAATAATCATTGCTAATAAAAATCGATCACTTAGCAAAGAATCAGATAAGAGAATGTTGAACATTCTGACTGAGCTCTTAAATCTTTCAAAGTCAGTTTTGCACTTAGAATGAACTATCTTTGATATTCCTGCGTTATAAATTCAATCTGAAGATAAAGTCGTTTTTCTCCATCATGAATAATCGTAAGCTAATCGACAATCTGCGCACCGATATTCTACGTGATGTGAAAAATCTTCAAGAAAACGACGTAAGGAATTCCAGGTGAAGGAGTATCTGCGTACATTTCTGTCATTTGACGATCAGACACGTCTGCAAGGCATCGAGAACTATATCGATCGTATTCGACAAACACTTGTGCACGAATCGAAGGTCAATGATCCACCCTACGATATTTTTACACAAATGTGTGAGTGTCAAAAGAAAATGGTCAAAGTTGCCTTTTACGGACCTACCGAGTCAATGAAAATGTTTAACTTGCAGATGAAAGTTTTGGAACTCGAAAGCAACTCAAGCTGACTGCTGAATGTGACACCGCTTTTCGCTTGTTCAGAACTTCTATTGCCGTCGAACAAGATGCTGATCAACTTCGACGTTTCGTCACTAGAATTGAAGCGTGAACAAAATCAAAAAATTGAGTACCGACTTGTTTATAAAAATAACCGTGAAATCAGAAAATCATTCAAGGTAATTCATTCAAATTGTCTTTTAATTCATTTTTTTGATCTAGCCATGTCGAAAAACTGCTTCATTCGCGTAAAACATTTTTGTATCAAACTATTGTCTCCGTCAAATCCAAATCTTTAGCTCTTCTAAGGACTGAAAACAATGGAATATTTGCCTTTCGAAAAGATGCTCTGTCATCGAGCTGTCAACTCTGATGCACCCAAATAATATCTTTTTCCTCAGCCTGGATGCTCGACTCTGCATCGTGATGTTTGTTTATTTACATTTAAGACATTTTACAAATGGACAATAGTTATCCGTTAAACACACTTTACCCGTCGACGTTTTGTCATATTTAGGGGATCTATTCTTCAAACTGGTTGAACGTATGTTTGATGAAGCAGTCGCTGATATTTTAAAAGTTCAAGAAATTCGGTCAACTCAATCACTTCTTCGCATCATCAACACTGTTGATCTGTTGGCCATATTTAACCTTGATGGTGTATAGTTGGATGATTTAAGGAAGCGAACATTTTTTCATCAAAGAGACAATTCGTTTGTGCTGGAATCCGGTATTAAAACAGATATTGCGTATATGATAGGACTGAACTATTCAAGCGGAAGAGTAAACAACATTGACTAAATTATCGTTGATGGATCATCACGAAGACCATCCTATTCTGCGTTCTCTGTTTCAATTCTATCAGCAAAAAAGAGAAGACTCATTTCTTTCGAACTTCATCGAGAACATTATACGCAATCTTGTGAAATCAAACAATAACTATCGGTACGATCATGTTGTGCAAAAATTTTGCTGTTTCTCTTTTTATTTTGGCCGGAAGAAATGCATATGAGTTTATCAGACACAATTTGCGCGGAGCATTATCTGGTCTGTCAAAGATCGAGTCATTTTTGAGTGACACAGACAGAATACGGATATTGTGCAGAGGACTGTACAGGAGTTATTGGTAAAGTCATCTACGACACAAACAGCAACACATTCGTCGGTTTTTCTGCGTCTCTTGTCAGTGGCATTCCACTTCCCCTCCACTTTCAAACAGATTCGCTTGAGAAGCTGAGAACGTGGTTTTCAACTGTTAAAAAAGAACCATTGCTGCATTTACACATGGTGCAGCCCATTGTAGCCACAGAAAATTCACCATTCATTTTGTCGGCCTACGGTACAGATGCGACAATGAAATGGACAACAAAATTACATGAGCGTTCGAGAAACTTTATTCTGCGTGAGGTTTCTGAACCGGTCGATAGTGACAATCCTTTATGCATGTGGAAACATGTATTCTGTCTTGATTTCTTTCTCAAACGCTTGATCAATATAACAAGGGAAACTGTGTCTATAGTCCACTCGGTTTCGTTGAAAAAGCGATTTATCAGTTGGGGTACTTCCCTCGTCAGTAGACTGAAGCTCTGGCAAATATCCTTTGCTATTGAATAAAGAACTTCCATTATTGTAACTCTTGCTGTGAAATGCCTTTACTATGTTCATTTGGCTTAGTTGTCGACATACATGCATTCATATGTCAGCTGGATATGTACTTGGTGCTATTTTGGAGGTATACGTCGAGATATAATTTTGAGTTCACTGATTTAGTAGTAGCACCGGCCCGCTCTACTTCGCTCTGACACCGTGCCCAGGTGGTTCAACTGAGTTTGCCAATGTGACAATCAGCCCGTGTCTAGTTTTATTCCGAAAAAGGTACATGTGTTATTTTCTCCTGTTCCACATGGAAGAATATAAAACTAAAATGAAGTGTCATTTTCAGCTGATGGTGCATACTCCACTTGTATCATTGGCAGGTTTTTTGCTTTCACCATGTGACTGTGTAATTTCTTGTGCTTCCGGTGCATACTGTGCAAGTTCATCCAGAAAACGATTATAGACTGCCATTGTCAAATTACGTTGCGCCCGAATAGATTCATCTTGAATTTCTTGGAACTTTTCATTTCGGTTTTTGAGACACGCACAGTATACCTGATAGAGGCAAGGACCTGACACACTCTGGAAATAAGGAAGAAGGTCATCATAATTGTGATTCTCCAGAAATGATTGGACGTCGTATTGTGACCATGTGTTGAGGTGGCCATACGTTCTGCAAAGCATAAAACACAGATGGAAATACTTATTTGCGGCTTGCTCAAAATTCTGATTGCGGTAAGTGCGCCTTAATTGGTTGAATAGCACCCAAAATGCGTAGAATTAAGCATTTTAAACTATTTTTGTTAGTTGCAAAAGGAAAAAACGCCAGTAAGATTTCTGGAAAGTATTTTCATTTTATCTCAAGTTCTTGTACTCAGTTATCAAGCATATGGGAAGCGCATCCATTATTATATATGCATCCCGATCCGTATTTTAAACTATAGGGAACGAAATTCAGATCATCAACCATAAGTTTCTATGATGTTCAATAGAGAAATAAAGTATGTCTGAAAATCCTGTGTGAAACTACGGGGAGCGCACATAGCGGTCAATCGGCGTATTCCGATATTTTTACCTCAATCATATCAAATTATACACAGGATGGAAGAGCAGATCAAGGGCGACATCGTGTTCTTTCGTCTTTTTGCGACAAGACTTTAGACAATTTTTTCAGCACATTCTGGATCATCGAATTATACATAAGACGCAATTTGTACTACTATAGTTAAGTCTCAAAGTGATCGCTATAAGGTAACCGTACCTCATTCTGTTCATTTTTCTGTTGACTTCGGCCAACGTCGAATGTAAATTCTGCTTTTCAATCACCCAATCGGACTCTTGTTTCTAAAAGATACGGTGGTAGATGCTATCTCTAAAAAAACTAGATACTGACCTGATGCTTCAAAGTCATTGCAGCTTTATCTCTCTCATAGCGTTCCTGACTCTCCTTTGCTCCGTTTAAGAGTTTTTGCTGTAAATCTTCTAAGCTTTTGATCCGCTCTAATTTTTCGCTTAACAATGCTTGGTTCTGTTGGATCAATTTACTGGCCTCTAGTCGTTCAGTTTGTATACGTTGATTCTTTTCTTCCATCACGTTGTTGGCTTCCTCTAAATCACGGATCCGTCGTTGTAGCGCATCCACCTTCTCACGATATTCATTGCATTCTTTAAACAAACGTTCTTCTTCTGTTGTAACTTGCATTTGCCTTAATGACACTAATAAACCATAGATGACTGCTGAGAAAGCCATAGGTCTCACGAAATTCTAATTTGCCTTTTCGCGAGCATATCTGGTCTCAAATGGAAACATAAGGGGTTGTCACATGTTTATTAAAACCGGAAGTTTGGCCACCCTAGTTGAATTTTCAGTAAAAATAACCTCTGATCAAATTCACTAAGACTTTTTAAAAATTTTCAGTACAGTTTTAATCAGTTTAATATTGCTAGAATTATTCTGTGTATTCAGAAAGAGTGACAGATTCTTTCGAGGAATAGGAAACAGGATATTACGAGAGCTGGCAGAAGTTCTAATACCTATACTAACCAAACCAATAAATCCTTCTCTATGTCAATCTATTCTGATATGTGAAAAGTCCTATGCGTTCCAAAATACAACGGTCTCGGATATTTTTCAAATAATTTTTCACAGAAAAAAGTGATAGACACCTGCGGTTTTCAGTTTTGAAAACTAGACACCTGACCACATATTCCTGGAAGCAACAGTGAATTCAGAAAAACTTTTAAAGTGGGTTGTTCAGAGGATCTTTGGAAAACTAGCTTGGGTTTTCTGAAATTCACACAGGAATGTATCGAGATTTTCTCATGGGCTGATAGTCCGGTGTGTTCTCTTCAAAATGTGAGTAAAGTGTGACCTTGATTTTCTGCGATTTGAGCGTTGTATCGGATTTCCGACAAGTCCCAGGATCGGCACCCG